ATACTTTATTACTCTGAGTGAGTAGAGAGAGCAGAGAGTTACAATCTGAGAGAGAGAGAAAAGAGTCATCCGCAACAGAGTGTGATCTGTCCCCCAAGTGTTGGTGAGGCTCACAATTTATAATCACCTCATAACAGATTGATGTGACTTAATAGTAACTAAATGGCTAATCTGGTGGAGCTGGCGATCTCTTCTCAACGGGCAAGGCAGTTACGGTGCTCTCTATAGGACTCGGTCAAAGGATGACATGGGGTTGACTCTTTCTAAGGCGACGGGGATGAGACTCTTGGATGACCCTACATACTCCCTACAAACGTAGCTCCTTGAACCTGATGATCTTGACCGGACGTGGATCACTTTGGGCTTGACTTGCTGGATCTCTTGGAGTTGGGCTATTAATTAAGACTGGGCTTTCAACATGAGTTAGGCCGTTTGAGTCTGGTTCATCATTTGCCCTCCAATGCCCTATGGCCAACGAAACTTGGAGAAGGGGGCATTTGGTTGAACTTCTCAGCTAGTAGAGACCATTTTTTACCGATAACTCTTCATCTTCTTGATATAGAAATTCCTTTTTGCCAGTACTTGATGTACCTTGAGCGGTTTCCATGGCGATGGAGCAATTAGCACAGAGGTAGGCAGCGGGGCTGCCGAAAGCCATGGCAGCGTTGGTACGGAGGTGCTGGGCGAGACAGTTGTATGCGCAAGGGAGGCGCTGGAGCTGGGTGCCACTGGTCTGGAGGTACTGATGAGCCAGCTGTGAGCGCAAAGGAGGCCTTGGACGAGGCGTTCATGGCAACTAGGTAAGCCCTTGGCGCTGGGTAGGACACGGCTGGGCGCTGAGGACCTGCTGGGTGTCTCTGGCCAGGCAACCTAGTTATTGGGTACTGCTGGATGGAAAGATGAGTCAGGCTTGGCGATAGAGGCTGGTGACCTTGCTGATCGCGATGAAGGAGCATTATTTTGGGACAATCACAAACATGGGAGTAGGTGTTAGATCCTTAGTGTTAGAAGTGCAGGCAATCCTTATTTGCGCTAGGTGTTAAGAGCAGAAGTGCTGCAATGAGGCGGCAGTGCTAGATGGATGCAAAAAGGATGAGGCCTGATTGTCGACATTCAATCTAATATAGTCTGGCGGGTTATAGACGGCCTAAGTTTCAAAATTGTGCTTAGAGATGGCAAAAACAATGTTATTCTAACATCAAAATATCTAACATGATTACCTGGAGGGAGAGAGAGAGAGAGAGAGAGAAATATAGACAGATTGCTTGCGTGAGAACAAAGACAGAGTGTAAGAGAGAGCTACACCTTTTGAGGTCGAGTTTTTTGGCTACCCATGAGCATGTCGCTATGCTGGAGATATAAGTTGTCTGCTTGAGAGTAGAGCAGAGGTAGGCCAAACTTTTGGTGACTCGCAAGAGAGTCGCTATTGGAGATAGACTGTCTGCTTGAGAACAGAGCAGAGATTGGCTAAGCTTTTGGCAACCCGTGAGAAAGTCGCTAAGTTGGAGATAGGCTACCTATTTAAGAATAGAACAGAGATAGGTCAAACTTTTGGCAACCCGCGAGAGAGTCGCAAAGTTGGAAATAGGTTGTCTGCTTGAAAACAGTGTAGAGATATGTCAAGCTTTTGGAGACCCACTAAAGGGCCGCTCAGTTGGAGGTATATGGACTGTGAGTCTGCCCAAATGAGAGTAGAGATAGAATTTGAAGGTTAGCCCATGGGAGGGTTACCAAGCCGGAGACCCATTTCAATGGATGGAGATGAGGAGAGTGTTAAGGAGCAGGGGCACCTGAAGTGCTGGGAACCTGAGGTTGGGAGCCTGAGTGCTGGGCTCTTGGTGTTTAGCATCTAAATGCTAGGCACTTGGTGTTTGGCGTCTGAGTGTTGGGCACCTGATGCTGGGCGCCTAAGACTAGGAGCCTAAATGTTGTGCGCCTGAGGCTAGGTGCCTGAGGTTGGACGCCTAGTGCTGAGTCTTCTTAACAATCTCTCTCCTCAAGTGGTGTGAGCTTAGCTACAAATTATGTTAATGTTTATGCCTTTGTGACTTCTTTTTTTTTTTTTTGGAGTAGGGTGCAGGTGGTGATGATGATGACAAGGACTCACCTCGCTTGACTTTGGTGACCTCCTTGACATTTATGTATTTTTGAGCTTTTGTCCACAATTTTGGTATGCTCTTTGGTGGGGTGCTTCATCATTGAGAAGAGAAAGCTAGATGAGCATAGGCCTCCCAAGAAAGCGGTTATGCTAACCTTGTCATCGGGCTCCTTAATGTGAAGGATCTTCTCTTAAAATGAGTGAGATAACTTCTCAGACTTTCATCCCAATCCAGCTTTATACTGAGCGTGTGGGTTGCAGGCTTCTCGTGGTGGTGCCATCCGATAAAGTGTGACCAAAGGACTTGCTTAGCTCGACAAAGGAGCCAATAGATGCTGGGATGAGCTTGGCGAACCACTGTCAAGCTAATTCCTTCAGAGTAGTCGGGAACGCCCTACACATGATTTCGTCAGCGACATTGTGTAATTGCATCAAAGACTTATAGGTGTCGAGGTGATCCAGTGGGTCTTTTGTGCCATTAAATTCTTCCACCGATGGCATTCTGAATTTCTGGGGAAGTGGGTAGTTTGTCATATTGGCTACAAAAGACGTGTTTGTTCGCCTTACGAGGTAGTTTACAGTCTCGGGTCCTTGTGCATTCATGACGTTTGAAGACGTCGCCCAATTGATTCTACACCTCTTTGATTTTTTTTGTCCCAGTGATTGGGGGCTCCTTTGGACATGTCATGGAAATGACTCTCGTACTCCACACTTTGATTCTTGCCCTCATCCTCTTGGCAAATGAGGGTCTCCACCATGGGAAGGAGGAGTTGGAGGAGAAGGCAGAGCTGCCTCATAGTTTTGAGGAGGGGCTCCTCGATGTTTGGCGCCCAAGGGGGCTCCAAAGGGGGCGCCCAAGTGGGGAGCTCCTTAACGCCCAGGGCATGGAGCTCTTCTGACTTGATATCCCCCAGGTTGTGCTCTGCCTTGTTATCCAGCGAGCATTAGTTGTAAGATTTGCTGATTCTGAGCTACGAGCTGTTATATTATCTCCAGCATCTGCTGTGCATTTGAAACATGATTGATTGGTAGAGGATTAACCTCCTCCTCTTGTGGTGAATTATCTTCGAGGTGATTTTATGGATCTGATGGTGATTGTCATAGGTTCAATAGAAGGAGTGTTTAGAAGTAAGAATTCAATCGTTCTCACAGACGGTACCAAACTGATAATACACAAATTGGGTTTGTGCACCACCTATCGATTGAACAGTAACAAATGCAGTAATTAAAATAGAGAGAGATAATAAGCGAGATGAGACAAAGGTTATAGTGGTTTGGTCAACGTGACCTACGTCCACTTTGAATGGTTAAGGTCGCCGGATACTTTATTACTCCAAGTGAGTAGAGAGAGTAGAGAGTTACAAGCTGAGAGGGAGAGGAGAGAGTCATGCACAACAGAGTGTAATCTGCCCCCCCAAGTGTTGTTGGGGCTTACAATTTATAGTCGCCTCATAACAAATTGGGGTGACTTAATAGTAATTAAATGGTTAATCTGGTGGAGCTGACGATCTCTTCTCAACGGGCGAAACAGTTACAGTGTTCTTCATAGGACTCGGTCAAAGGATGACGTGGGGTTGACTCTTTCTAAGGCGGCATAGATGAGACTCTTGGATGACCTTGCATGCTCCCTGCTAACGTAGCTCCTTTGAACTTGATGATCTTGACCAGACGTGGACCACTTTGGACTTGACTTGCTGAATCTCTTGAAGTTGGGTTATTAATTAAGACTGGGTTTTCAACATGAGTTGGCCCGTTTTGGGTCTGGTTCATTAATAATGATATGGTTTCATATAAATAATTAAATCAACATTAAGTTTTAATGTTTGATGGGGTTTACAGTCAATCTAAAGGTCATAGTGAATTAAATCAGCAAATTATGTTAGTAAATTAAGTCTCAATATTCATGTTATATTATGATATTTATTGAAATAAAATCAAAAATAAAAACCTATTTTTTTCTTATAAAATCATACTTAGTATACAACTATACTATTTATTGAAATTTAATTTGATCATCTAAACTATCAAATTAAACTACCAAATTATCTCAATTAAAGTTATAAGATATTATGTTAATTATAGTTTGACCTCTTGTTTAATTTTTTAGTTTTATTCAAAGAGATAATATATTTGTATACTAATTATGATTTTTTAAGAAAAAAATAGATTTTTATTTTTGATTTTATTTTAATAAATGATATAATAGAATATGAATTTTAGTTATCAAGTTCATGTTTTATTATGAATGACTTATACTTCTTGTTTGATTTTTTTAGTTTTATTCCAATAGAAGTATAATTGTATACTAAATTACGATTTTTAAATATATAATTATATTTTTATTTTTTGATTTTATTTCAGTAAATGATATAATAAAAAATAAATTTTGATTGTAGAATTTAAAATATTTGATATTTTATTTTTAATTGAAATATTTTCGATTTAAATATAATATTTTGAACTTGAGGGATTTAAGTATTATTTCTAAAAATTTCAAGAGGTCTAGTTATAATTTACTAATAAATATATTAACAGATATTGACTAGAGGAGTTTAAATATTATGCGTATAAACCTCATAGAATGTGTGTGTAATATTTTAAATATTAAGAAATATGAGTAATTAAGTATTAAATTTTTAGAGGCTTAAGTGTAATTCTCTCAAAAAGTTAGTGTTATTGGCTAAACAATTTACCGTAATGCTACGCGCGTAATGCTCCCAAAAAGTTAAAGTGTAATTGGCTAAAATTTTGTCTGCTTAACATTACTGAACAATTTATCCCGTCTTTGTTTAGGGAACCCACCTGAGAGAGTGAGGGGTCTGTAATCTGTATATATATGATGCATTGCTTCTCATCTTGTCCAATATAACCATCAATATATTTGTCGTTAAGCTTACTCGAAATGGAGAGCTCGGCAACAGAATTCAGCACTTTACTCCACCACACCAAAGCTTACAAATTTGCCTCAGAAGACACAGCAGAATCATTGGAATTCTTCTGTAATTTCTGGAGAGATGAAGGCGCAGTACCAATTGACCAACGCGGCGACACAGTTCTCCACCTTCTGGCCATCAAAGGGAAAGTGGCTGCCCTGGGATACCTACTTCGGGCAGACCACCTGCTCGACGACATGCTCCTTAGAAAGCATGCCAACAGCAACACTGCGCTGCATGAAGGTGCGAGATCTGGTCAGAAGGTTGTGGCGGAGATCATGGTCACGAAGAAGCCAGATTTAGTTTTCCAGCGGAATGATTTGAACGAGACGCCTCTTTTTCTTGCTGCTGTGTCAGGAGGCACGATGGCTCCACAATTCTTCATGCTGCCATTGAGGGAGAACGTTACAGTAAGTTTTCAATTCCATTCATTAGTTAATATTCATTCGAATGCTGGTCAAGCCAACCACAAATTTTGATGGAATTACGTCTTTAATTTCCTCCATTAAAAAGCTTAAATTACCCACTCTCCACAAGTACAACATTGCTTTAGGGGCGAAGACAACCATTGATCAATTACATTTGTATTAGTTTTGCAGGATATTATGTTGCTTTGGTTCCCTTTTTAAGTTTTGTTTCTTCACAATAGGGTCCCCCGAAGCATATATAATTTGGTAAATTTTATAATTAGTCCTCAAACTTTGTCTTTTACTTTAAAATAGTTCTGGAACCTTTAACTGTCTCAATTTTGTTCACCGACTAGTAATTTCATATCAATTAAATCTTTCATCAATTCCAGCCATTAGAACTGACAAAGGCAAGTCAAGTGTTTGTCCTATGACCGTCCGCGCAGTTTGTTCTAATGAATAAAATTAGTGGAAGGACTTAATTTCCATGAAATTGATAATTGGAGGACTACATTAAAAAAGTTCAAAAGTTCAAAAGTTCAAAGATCATTTTAAGAGACAAAATTTAAGGACTAACTATGATACTTACCCTATATAATGGGGTAATCCTTTATGCACCAAAATTTGCACCAAATCAACTGCAACCATTAAATCAATCATGTGACTCACTGATCTAATAGTTGCAAGTAATTTGGTGCACATAGTATTGCTCTATATAATTTTGTATTCCTCTCTTGATTCTTCCACATACTTTTAAATTTGTTGTACTCGATGGGCTATGTAGAACATCTCTAATTCTTCCATTTTTTTAAATCCAAATTTAAATTTGAGTAAAAATTTTTTAAAAACCTTCTTCACTGTTAGACTCGTATCCATATCAAATTAAGGGAGACTCATTTTTTTATTTAAATTAAGGAAGACTCAAATTCATACTCAAATCTTTATTGGTGAGATTTCTTCCCCCTTTAAAGATCTAATGGTCATATTTTACCCTCTTTTTAATTTGAATTTGTTTTTATTTAAATTTAAGTTTCTGTTCCTTTTAAATTTCAATTTTAAAGCTCTATTTTACCCTTATAAAAGATTGCAAAGACCACTCTATCCTTTCACAATTAAATATTTAAATGTCCATCAGATTATTATGTCTATAAATCTCCAAATTATCTATAACATCTTTTTTAATTATCTATTCTTTATGTATAAATATTAGTTTCTATAAAACTTTTTAATTAACTATTACTTTTAAAAAAATAAGTATCATTATATTTTCAATAATGTGTTCAAAAAACCTTCAAAAGCTGTATCAATATAATATTACTCATATCATATGTGTATTTTTTTGTTCGTCAAAAATTTTAACCTTTCATTTCAAAGGTAAAAAATAATTGTATATATACTTTTTTAAAATCAATTTATGTTACATCAGTATAATTCTTCAGTCAAAATCAACTTGCTAGGTTGTACTAAGAGTTTATGTAATAATAGATTTTATAGTGTATTTTTTAGTAAACCTTAAATTTTTTAGAATTTTAATATGCTTGATAATATATATTATAGAATAGTATGTTAAATCTTATCTCGATTGATATATCCAATGCCTAATTACAATAAGATTCTAATGCGATTATTATATTGACAATTACTTTTATTTTATTCAAGGAATTATAAGTAAAATATAATCAAATGAATTTCAAAAAATTTAATTTCTCAAACATCATTAAAAAATTAATCTCAATCACAAAATTCTAAAAAAATTGAACTTCAGCAATTTTTTTTATAGTTAGAACAAAAAATTTTGGGAACATATAAAGCTTTCATAATCGTATAATAGAATGAGTAATAAAAAATTAAGTTGGGTAAATTTGAGATAATATTTAACTCAGATACATATATACCTAATATGTTTTATTAATTTTTGTGTGCAAAAATTATTCACCTGTAACGCATGTGATGTATTGCTAGTATACTAAGATGAATCTAGATCACCTTTGTGAAACAATAATTATAAATGCTTTTACTTTTTAGACAAAATTACTTTGTTACTTAAAAATTACATTAAAAAGTATTACCAAACAACGACTTGTATGTAAGAAATGTGAAGTCATATGTGATGTTAATGTATGTATGTTTGTCCCACATCGATTATATTATAAAATTTTACTACTCTCTTGTACTATAGATAAACCTTCTCATGTATAGAATAAATTATACCTGTGCAATTGATATTCGTTTTATTTTATCTTCTTTCACATGCTTTCAGAGCCTAGACTCGTGAATGTTTTTAGCCAAGGATAGTATGCTATGTGGTTGCCCTATGAACGATCCTCTACATTAGAACTCTTGAGACTCTTCATCCAGTCACCCTTTGACGACATTTTGATCGCCTCTCGGCCATTCTTTGGTGACCTTTCGATATGTTCCTACCATCTTTCTGCGAACTTCCGGTTTGCCCCCGGCCATACTCCGATGACCTTTTGATTTGTCACCTGGCCATCCCCGATGACTTTCCAGCCATCCTCTGGTGACCTTCCGAGATGTTCCCGCCATCCTTCTGCGACCTTCCGGTTTGTCCCCGGCCATCCTCCGATGACCTTCTGATTTGTTGTCTGGCCATCCATGATGACTTTCCGGCCATCCTCTAGCGACATTTTGATCACCTCTAGCGATGTTCCGATCGCCTCTCGATCTTCATTTTGCGAAGTTTTGATCACCTCCGACCATTCTCTGACGACGTTCTAGTCACCTTTCGGTCATAAAAAATCCTCCAATCTCATTTCGACTATCCTTTGATATATTCCATTGACCTTCTAGTCGCTCACTGATCATTCAAAATCCACTATGGCACTATCAGATATGTCAGTCTCACTGCTCATATTGTCACAAGACATCATGCATTACTCAACTGTCCTACCTGAGTTTGCAAGTTCTGACCAACTAACAGTACAAATATGGTAATCAATCTAAGGACAAGTCTATGTCTATTTCCCACATTACTGCTTCTACTGTCAATGACTCCTGTCCTCTAAAGTCTCCTTCTTCGACTTTCAGTGTCAGTGATCTTGCGGCTATCCTCAAATAGGTTCTTTTTGTATCAGTTAATCCATCTTCTATTGCTTTGTCTGCCACTTTAAGTAAATCATCTTAGTTCTTTGACTCTACATGGTGTAACCACATGACCCTTGATGAATTGTTGTTTTCCTCCACACAATCTATTGGTTTTGTCCCACCCATTCACACTACAAATGGCTCACATATGCATGTCAATCATGTTGGATATGTCTCTATATCCCATGTCACTTTCCCATACTTATGACATTCCTAATCTTACTCTTAATCTCATATCTGTAGGTCAACTTTGTGACCTCGAACTCATTGTTTATTCTTTTCTACGGGTTGTATTGTCCAAGATTCATGGACAGGATAGATCATTGGGATAGGCCATAAACGTGAATATTTGTTTGAGCTTATTTATCTTCGTATTCCAAAACGACTATTTTACTCTGTGCTCTCTAGTGTTTTTGTTTCCACTCCGACCAACTCTCATTTCAATCTTTGGCATTCTTGTCTAGGTCGCATTTCTTCAAGTCGTCTACAATATTTAATTTACAGTGGTCAGTTAGGGAGTGAACAACTTGATTGATTGTCTTGTAAACTTGCAAATCAGCTATATTTACCTTTTTCTTTGTCTTCTTTCCCTTTTGATTTGATTCATTATGATATTTGGGGACCTTTTCCAACTGTTACTATAGTAGGGTCAAAGTACTTTATCATTTTTATTGATGATTGCTCTCGATTCACTTGAATTTATCTTTTGAAAACTCGATATCAATCGCCACAAATTTATTATAATTTTATCAAAACGGTCCAAACTCAATTTTCGCGATCCATTAATGTTTTTAGATTTGATAATGCCATGGAATATAGAGACACCACATTCCTTAACTTTCTCAATCAACATGACACCATTCTTTATCGTTTTTATCTTGGTACATATCAACAAAATAGACATGCTGACTCCAAACATCGTCATATTCTTGATATTGTTTGTGCTATTCTCATCTCTTCTTCATGTCCTGAGAGTTTTAAGGGTAAGGCTTCTCTTATTGTCGTTCATACCATCAATCATATTTCCTCCCCTATTATTGGGAATCAATCTCCATATGAGTGATTGTATGACACTTCCCCAAAATACCACTCTCTTGAAGTCTTTAGTTGTGCATGTTTTGTCTTACTCTAGCCTCATAAGTGTACCAAGTTGGAACCTCGGGCATGCCTTTGTTCTTTCTTAGGTTTTAGGATTGAACATAAGGGTTATCATTGTTGGGATCCATCTTCCAAGCATCTTTGTGTTTCTTCACATTTCGCCTTCTTGGAACACAAGATGTTTTCCTCCTTGTCTCAGTTTTAGCTTTTGTCTTCCCCTACTTCTCATCTCTTTACTGATCCATTTATGGATCTATATCTTGATTACCCATATCCAGACTCGTTTGAGCTCCCATCTACGGACCATCAAGAGGCTTCTGCCCTGCCTGTTGATGGTGCTCTTTCCCCACTTCACACTTATAGTGATCATGCCTCAGCTCCTGAATGCTCTACACCATTTCCTGTTGATACTCATTCTCATGCTTATCAGCAACGTCATTCCACTTGGGTAAGGAACATTCATGTTCGTTTGCATGATTATCGTTGTTTCTCCATTATGCTTTCTCAGCATGAGCCTTACTCTTATCATGTGGCTAGTTGTAACCCTCATTGGCAGCAAGAAATGACATAAGAGTTACAGGCACTAGTGGACACACATACTTGGGATTTGGTTGCTCTTCCTCCTAGAAATATTTATTGGTTGTAGATGAGTTTATAAGATCATGACTTGCTTTGATGGTCCTATTGAGCGTTACAAGGCTTGTCTAGTGACGAAGGGTTTTACATAGGAGTATGATATTGATTATGAGGAGACTTTTGCTCCCGTTGCTCTTCTCACTTTAGTTCGAAGTGTACTAACTGTTGCTGCCACTCAATGATGGATATTATATCAGATGGATATCAAAAATGCATTTCTCAATGATGAAACTACTAAGGAACTCCACATGCAGCCTCCTCCAGGTTGTCTTCATTCACCACATCAGGTTTGTGGACTTTGTTGTACAATTTATGGTCTCAAGTAAGCCCATAGAGCCTGGTTTTTGAAGTTTAGTACTACTATTGGAAATTTTGGTTTCTCTTCCAACCCTTATGACTCGGTTATTTTTGTTCGTAAGACTGAGCGTGACACTACTCTACTTCTTCTCTATGTGTATGATATGATTATCACTGGGATGATATTTCTAGAATTTTTTATCTCAAATACTTTTTCAGCACACACTTTGAGATGAAGGATCTTGGTTCTTTCAACTACTTCTTGGGCCTTGAGATTTCGTCTGACTCTAGTGGATATTATCTCTCTTAGGCCAAGTATGTCTTTGATCTTCTTCCTCGTGGACTTACTAATTGCAAGATTGTACCTACCCCATTGGACTTATTCACTTAGATGGCACACCTCCCTGATGACACTCTTTATTGCTAGTTGATAGGCAGTCTTGTGTATCTCACTGTTATTCGCCTGGATATAGGCTATGTTGTTCATCTTGTCAGCTAATTTTTGACTGCCCTTCGCTCTACTCATTGTGCTGTTGTTCTTCGTATTTTACAATACATTAAGGGTACTATGCTTTATGGTTTTCATTACTCTACTCATTTATCTCTTTAGCTACAGGCCTATTCTGATGTTGACTAGGCAGGAGATCCTACTGATCGTCATTCTATCACTAGTTATTATTTCTTTTTGGGTGACTCTCTCATCTCTTGGCGCAACAAAGAAATAGTCTATTATCTCTCAATTCGGCACAGAAAGTAAAGCACTCTTGTTGACACTACTCAGGAGCTTCTTTGGCTCTTAGAAGATTTAAATGTCTCTCATTCTAATTCTACTATTCTTTGTTGTGACATTCAAAGTGAGAATACAGATTGCTGAAAATGATGTTTTCCATGATTGCACTAAGCATATTGAAATTAATTGTCATTTTGTGTGACAACATGTGGTTCGAGGCAGAGTTCATCTGGTCTCTGTTTCTTCATTTGACCAAACTATTGACATCTTTACCAAGGCACATTCATCGTGATGATTTCGTGATTTGGTTTTCAAATTCAAGTTGATTTCTACTTTGCTTCCTTGAGTTTGATAGAAGATGTTAATATATACATGCTTGTCTCACATTGGTTAGACTTGAAAACTTCACTACTCCCTTATATTATAAATAAACATCCTCATGTATAGAATAAATTGCACCAAAGCAATATACAATTGATATTCGCTTTCTATTCTCTTCTTTCACATGCGAAAGCCAGCCAACTATCATCCTAACTTAAATTTTTTGCAACTTATGTTAACTAGGTTTGGCTATTCGCATCTTGAAATCGTACCCTGATCTTGCTGACAAACATGATAAAAACGGTATGACTACTTTGAATTTGTGGCCACAATGCCAGCTTCTTTCAGAAGCAAGTCATCATATGTGTTGAATGATCTGAACAGGATACCTTTCATTCCTTTGTAGATGCTTGAAGTTGTTGTCTACAAGTGTAAGCATTATGCCATTATATTGTAGTAGCATTGAAGATAAATTTTTGCTTTATATATTTTTACCACCTTATTCCCGTTCTCTTTTGACGATATAACTAAAAATATAAATTGACAGATTTTTCTCGTAAACAAATCAAATAACAAAGACCTAAATTGGCATAAGACTTAAGGTTTTCAAATTTGATTTTTTTTCCCCTATGAAGTTAATATAAATTTATATTGAGTCTAGAAATTGACCAACAACAAATGAGGATAAAGCTGTCATTTAGCTCTTTCAACCCACTATATGGGGGATATTTGTACACTGGATATGGATATGACATTTTATATGAAGTTTTCACACGTCAGATCTTCAAAATGAAAATTGATTCCTTCATTTTACTTCTGGAACTCGAGATAAATAAAAGGTTTGGCATACTGTTATATATTAGTAGTTGTTTTACTCTTCAATATGAGATATTTCATATTAGTAGGGGATGGCGAGGTTACCCATGGGTCCCGTTATCCGTTACCCGATCAGAAACCCAATAGACCTGATAGTTGGTCTGCCCGAGTCCGAGTCCAATATCCTTTAAAAAAAGGCTTGGGTTTATCCCCAAACCTATTACCCGGCCTGAAGTCTGATCCAATAGTCTGCCCGAAAAACCCGTTAAAACCTGATCCAAGAACCCGCCGGCCAAGCCCAACCCACACACCCTTCATTTGAAAAAAAATTATACTTTTAGACCACTAAATTTGAAACTTTGAAATAAGTCTCTCAATGTCAAAATTTAAAGTTTTAAAATTTTAGATACTATGAATAATGTATTATTTTTTTTTCATGTGTTAAGTATACAAGTTTTAAATGGTAGAGTAATGTAAATGATAGATAAGTTAGTAGGTGTCAATCAAGTTGAGATATATTTNCTCCCTTATATTATAAATAAACATCCTCATGTATAGAATAAATTGCACCAAAGCAATATACAATTGATATTCGCTTTCTATTCTCTTCTTTCACATGCGAAAGCCAGCCAACTATCATCCTAACTTAAATTTTTTGCAACTTATGTTAACTAGGTTTGGCTATTCGCATCTTGAAATCGTACCCTGATCTTGCTGACAAACATGATAAAAACGGTATGACTACTTTGAATTTGTGGCCACAATGCCAGCTTCTTTCAGAAGCAAGTCATCATATGTGTTGAATGATCTGAACAGGATACCTTTCATTCCTTTGTAGATGCTTGAAGTTGTTGTCTACAAGTGTAAGCATTATGCCATTATATTGTAGTAGCATTGAAGATAAATTTTTGCTTTATATATTTTTACCACCTTATTCCCGTTCTCTTTTGACGATATAACTAAAAATATAAATTGACAGATTTTTCTCGTAAACAAATCAAATAACAAAGACCTAAATTGGCATAAGACTTAAGGTTTTCAAATTTGATTTTTTTTCCCCTATGAAGTTAATATAAATTTATATTGAGTCTAGAAATTGACCAACAACAAATGAGGATAAAGCTGTCATTTAGCTCTTTCAACCCACTATATGGGGGATATTTGTACACTGGATATGGATATGACATTTTATATGAAGTTTTCACACGTCAGATCTTCAAAATGAAAATTGATTCCTTCATTTTACTTCTGGAACTCGAGATAAATAAAAGGTTTGGCATACTGTTATATATTAGTAGTTGTTTTACTCTTCAATATGAGATATTTCATATTAGTAGGGGATGGCGAGGTTACCCATGGGTCCCGTTATCCGTTACCCGATCAGAAACCCAATAGACCTGATAGTTGGTCTGCCCGAGTCCGAGTCCAATATCCTTTAAAAAAAGGCTTGGGTTTATCCCCAAACCTATTACCCGGCCTGAAGTCTGATCCAATAGTCTGCCCGAAAAACCCGTTAAAACCTGATCCAAGAACCCGCCGGCCAAGCCCAACCCACACACCCTTCATTTGAAAAAAAATTATACTTTTAGACCACTAAATTTGAAACTTTGAAATAAGTCTCTCAATGTCAAAATTTAAAGTTTTAAAATTTTAGATACTATGAATAATGTATTATTTTTTTTTCATGTGTTAAGTATACAAGTTTTAAATGGTAGAGTAATGTAAATGATAGATAAGTTAGTAGGTGTCAATCAAGTTGAGATATATTTATTCTATTAGATGTAGTTCATCCCCTAATCAAAAATAAAATTATTCATTATTTTATTTTTATTCATTTTGACTCTACTTTTGATTCAAAAATATAATTTACATAAATATTAAGTTACAAAAATATTTATTATTTTTAAATAAAATTGTATATAAAAAAACCCGCGAGCAGGTCCACTTAATAGCGAGCAGGTTGGGCTGCGGGTAGTCTATCTCTACCCAAAGTCCGGTCCGGCCGGTAACTCACTTGAGTAAGAGGATCCATCCGCTGATAACAAAGTTGGTATCTCAAAGGTAAAAATGCCATTTTTCATCAGAGTTATCATAGGTGTGGTACCTCTTCTTATTCTTATTTTTCTTGTTGTCTTTATTATCAATTGAAAATTTTACATTATTGATTTTTGTTTAAAGAAGTTGAATCTCTTAAAAGAATAGAAGTCAAATGTTGGTGTCTTTTATGATAAAACGCATAGAGAATGCTATTCATCCTCTCCTTTTCAACTATAGTATGTCAAGTGTTTTGCCCCCAAATTATGTCTCAATACCATTAGTGTTTTCCTTCCATAACTCTATTGCTACAATTGTCCATCTTCTATTAGGTCACTGGTTTTTCAGAAAAATTTACGATGCAAAGCAAAAGCATGAAGTTGTGGTAAAGCTGGCATTTAAATTGATAGAAAAAGAAGATTGAAGTCATTTCATTAAGTATGAAAGTATAGATCCTGAAGTGAGCTCATTTGGGATTTCTTCAAGGAAGAAAAATAAGGTACCCGACCCGCTCATACATGCAACAAGGTTCGGCATTCTTGAGTTGGTAATGGCCATCCTCCAAAAATATCCCCAGGCTGCAGACTCCTTCGACGAGAATGGAAGGAATATATTACATATAACGGTGGAGCAGAAACATAGATTTCTTTATGAATACTTGATAAGTTCTTTAGCTTATAAAGATAGGATGTTGGCCGATATTGATAACGGAGGGAACACCATCTTGCACCTCGCCTCGTGTGTCCAAAATCCTGCTACTTCTCATCCTAGAATCACAGATGTTGCTAGTCAATGGAGAGTCAATTATCCTATCAGAAAGAAGCGGGGAAGTGTCCCATTGACAAACCAGATGAGTTGGGATGTGCTTTGGTTCAAGGTACGTACGTTCTAAAGCATATTAAATTAGACCCGTACAAATAGCATTTTGCATTAATAACTAATATGAGGCCTCCCTAATCCTTTATCACAGCGAGTAAAACATGATACTTATCCACACTTAAGGCATGTTCGAAACATGGATGGAATGACAGCAGAGGAACTATTTGAGGAAAATTACTCCTCTGTTTGAGAAGAAGCAAAGAAAGCAGCAAAGGAGGCTAGTGGTAAATTCATAATCGTCACCATCCTCATCGCAACACTTAACTTCGCGGCACTTTTCACTGTCCCCGGTGGCTTGGCTTCGATCAGAATACTGGGGACCCCATGCTCCTCACTAGTCATCGACAGGAAATAAAGTTCTTCATGGTTTACGTAGGGTTATCTGTGTCATTCTCCTTGGCAAACCTCCTGCTAATCCAAGTATTCGACACCAATGATTTTCACATTGCAGTTCCAACAAAATTCATATTATCCTCCCTCGCCATTATGTACTCCACCGGCTTGTCCGTCACCGCATTTTACCAAGGCTATATACTTGAGGGCCACCCAGGAACCTTCGTAGCCGCCTTTATGATTTCGCACTTGTTCTTTACGTGGTATGTGTTGGCCCTTGTAATGGTAGACACCACGGTCTCAGTTTTCGATTACATGTACTATGCACTTTTCCATTTGCTTGCTTATAAAAGTCCGGATATATAGAATTTGATTATTGAGATTTGTATTGTATAATATAATCTTTGTATTCAAGAGAATTACAACAAATAAATTAAGAGTTTTGTTAGAATATCTTTATTACTTCTAAATGTCAACATAAGTGAAAAATTTTTGTTTGATTTAATTTAGCTCAACAAATTAACAAATGTCTATCCTATCATTATGTAGTTAATAACATTATTAAATTATGTATAAATTATGTGGATTCTTGAGTTGCTAACTATCGTTACATCATTCCTCTGCGGTCCATGGCCAATCTTCGAAGGCACTTTCATCAAACGCATCCATTACCTTCGGGCCTACGATTATTTCCAGTATCTAATCTCTCTGTCTTTTGATATTTTTCTCAGATTGATAACGTTCTACCCTAATTATCTGTTGCTGTAGGCGATTTGTTCATGCTTTGTGCAGCTCTAAGGGAACCAATGCAGTACTTTCTATGGAGTATTATTGATGTGATCAACCTAATCCTATTTTACAGGTTTGTCTATTAAGATTTACTTGTGTATTTATGTATGTATAATTCACCAAAAATGTTAGTGAAAATTGGTTTGAGTTGATCAATATGGTGGTTTTTTATTAAAAAGTTAGTGCATTAAGATTGGTGATTGTAATGGCGAGCCTGTTGAGATTGAATATAAATTAAGTTGTTCATTTTAGGATTTTTCTTGTTGAGTTGGTTAGATGTGTTTGTGAAACAATAGATGCAAGACTATTGTTTCCTATCATTTGCTTGCTTAGAAAAAGGACGTTGTTGGATTTTTATACCTGACTTCAATTTAATTTTGCTATTGTTGTGGTTGTGGCTAATTAGTTGTATCTTTTTTGGTTTATATTTACAATCTGGGAGATGTGAACTTTTTTTTGTTTTTTTTTCCAGCTCGAAAACCATCATTTCATTGATACCAAACAAACAATTAATACAAGTGTACGAATACATCATTTCATCCTATACCAGCTAGGACATCCCTAGAGCATATATTCAGCAATTCCGTAAGTATACAGTAGTTCCATTGTGCATGAAGATTTCCTCTAATAGTCTGAGTCTGAGAAGCTATCCAATGGGCTGTTTCTTTCTCTTCCAATCACCCTCCATTCTAGAGCAATCATGTGCTTAGCAAACTCCCAAGTATTTAGCTGGATCATTTCTTTCTCAAGTAGACTGTGTGGTGGTCGTTTTGTAGAGACTCAATCAACATCTTCGAATCAGATTCTATGATGGTTACTGGACATTTATTTTCCACTGACCAATTGCAGGCTCTTATTACTTACTGCCTATGCATCAGCTAACAGTGGGGATCTTGCTGCCATCACCCCAGATTCACACCATAGGATGCCTCCATCAGGGTTCCTAACTAATAAGCCATATGCCTCTTTCTGATCCTCCTCCTTAAAAGTACCATCACAATTAATCTTGATCCATCCCAGTAGGGGTGTAGCCCAAGTAGGTTTCTTCATTCCCTTCCCCACTCTTTGATATCTCGACCTACTATTACAACTCATTATTTCATCATTGGCCAATACAATATGGTTTATTACTGCTCTATGACATCAATCTGTGCTGAAAGATCCATTGGTTTCTTGCTTTCCAGAAGGACCACAACAAGAATGCCAACAATGATTGTCCTATACCTTCTTCCATTCCATTCTAATATAGAGATTTCATGACTTCCAAGAACCATTTTTCTATTCTTGTGACCTTAGCTCTATGTATTAGAAAGTTTAATGGGGATTCACTCCATATCTTGCGAGTCCAGGAACATATTAAAAATAGAAGCTCCAATGTCTCCTATTCCTCTCCATAGATTGGGCACATGGGAGATTTCATCATATTTCTTCTCCATAGACTCCATTTAGTTGGCAACGATCCCGTGACAAATATTCTAGAGAAACATTTTAACTTTTGGCAGGGCCTACAACTTCCATATAATTTGTCATAACTCCTTAGGCACTGTAAATGAACGTGCGGCTTTATTACTCCTTCTATGGTGACATGTTCCAAATTGCATCTTGTTATAACCACTTCTCACAATGTACTGGCGGCTAAAAGTACTAGACCACCTTATAATATCTCCCAGCCTCTTTGTCTATTTGGCTTAATGACAATGCCAAATTTACTTTAGACACATCAGGAAAAAAGACGGGCTCAACAAGAATATGTTCCCTTTTATATGGTCTTTATTAACCAGCTCCTCCACCTATATCAAAGGGTTGTTTCCTTCATTAGGTAGGTTCCCAAATCTAGTCTACCAGTATGATTTTTGCCTTTTTTGAGGTTGTCCCACTACATGATTTTTTTCTAGAATTGACTCTGGTTTCCCAATTAAGTTATCATACCCAGGTTTTTGTTATTTTGTTGCATCATAATGGCTAAAGCATACTAACAGGGGGCCTATTAAGTTTTACCTGATTATAACTACTCTTCAATTACCCAATGTAGTTGATTTTGTTTGTTGTCTGATTCATATAACCTCTAGAGCTCTAAGTTACGATGAACTTTTGACTCTGATTCTAAATGAGCATTGGTATTTTGAGGGTTTAAAATAAAAAGTATGTTAAAGTTTTGATTTCTATGGGGTCATTGCCTTGTGCAATAGTAAAATGCTCGGGCTAGCAATTGTAAAGATTCACATGGGGCAATTTTTTTGTGGGAAAAATACTGAATGTTACCAGAAACAAATCTCAAAATTTTATAATTTCAGTTTGGATGTCCTTTATCTTTTTTATCGCTTGATTTTTTTAAAATTGATGTATATTAATTAAATATCCCTAATTCCAACTATGGCCTTTTTATTTTCCATCTTAACCTCGTTGTATTCTATAGTCATTTCCTCCATCACCACTACCTTCCTCATCAAATTAACTACTTTGGGAAAAGTTCTTTTCAAGAGGTTGACTGAGGAAAGCAATATTGACGGCCAACCTAATCTCTTCAACATTGGCCCTAGAATTAGAGTGGCCAAGGCAGGTGAGTAGGTTATTCTAAGCAACTGTGGGTGACATTCATCACATTATTACAATATTCAAGACTATTGCATTTACTTTCTCATTTTGGGTTTCTCTGCAAATCGGGTGATCTATTTTTGGTACTATTGCCATATCTAGACCATGGAATCTTTTGCCGAGGTTTTCGATGTTAATGTTATTGGACAATTGGGAATGGGTTTCTACTCTGCAGAATGGGTTTCTACTCTACTTAACGGGTTGCCGACAAGGTGATTGGTATTATGTCTAGGAGACTAGAAGTCTCAGATTGGTGGTTCCTTTTGCCAGTGACTTAAGTAGTTGAATTTTTTTTTCTATATAGTCTGGTTCTACTCATTCTCAACACAAATAGTGGTGTAGTTAGAGCCCACTTTATTTTTTGTATGATTAGCCATGTCATCCAAATCCTGTGTTTTATTTGGGATTGTAGACCAGTGCTTCCTATTTACTTTTAAACTTAAATTCATGTATCACACTAAATTCTTAGTTGGCTTCCATTTATTTGACAACCTTTTTGTTCAGTGTACATATTCATTACATTATTTCAATACTTGAAGAGTACTATATTCAATTTCTCATTTTGGTTTCTCTCTATAGGTCTAAAAAAAAATCTTGGCACCGTTGCATGATCTGGCACCATGGCGACTTTGGTTGATGATGCAGATGTTAATGTGATTAGTTAAATTATAATGGTTTTCTATTATTATTTACTTGGCTGCCAAGAAGGTCATTGATACTGGTATGTCTGGGAATCTCATGTTCTTTCATTGCCACCAGGGATTCGAAACTGATGACGAAGACTAAGATACTTTCCCCATCCACTGATCTGGATTGTATTTTTTACTGCAAGGTATTTCATTTCTTGTCATCGGTCTTGTTGTATGTTGCATCAATAAACGAGTGTGCAATATAAATATTGAGTTAGATATATTCTTTAATACAAGGTTATCGAGGCCTTCAGTTTTAGGAATCAAGAATTTTTGTTGTGTTCATAGTTAAGTTCTTAATTCTTTGAACTATGTTATTCTGTTTAATGATGTCGTGGCAAATTAATATAATTTCTTATTACTGAGAGGAGATATTCTGCGTGTTTTATGATATTGAACCATGTTATGGAGTGTAGCATCCCTATATTCTATGGTGAGAACGAAACTTTGTCAGCAATTGTAATCAAATCTGAGAGCTCAATTGCAGAAATTGTAGAGGTACTAAAATTCAATAAATTAGATGGTGTCCAATATTGGACTCTCTGATACACATCCATGTATAAGTAATCGTTGAACGATAGTAATTATGATCTCATAGAACAAAGAGTGCATTTGTTTCTATGATACAAGAGGAAGTAATTGCTTTCACGTGTTTTGAGGCACATGCAATTTGTACGTTTACGAATAACAATATGATTCTTTGAAGTAAAAACCAATAACTCTACATGTCATTAGGCTAGAGCTTCATTCTAGCATGCCAAACTTGATAGGATAGTTACATGCATCAGTTGAAATAACATTTTTGTCCTTTCCTTGATTTGTTTAAATCAAAGGCCAGATACCAAATGTTATGAAGTAGAGTCTCCTTCTCTATTTT